TCAAAGTCCCAGAATCTCTTTATATTCCGCTTCTTTGCCGTTTCTGGATCGTTTTTCACCTCTTTCTTTCGAGCTCTTATCCCAGTCATCGTTTTCCAGAGCCTGCATGTAAAACCTCCCCACACACATCTCCGCCTCCGCTTTGATCCATATATCCAGGATGATTCTGCACATGATGCCTTTATCGGGCTCTGTAATCCTGGCAAAGGTGGAGAGCCAAGCACCTTGGTGGGTCTACTTGCTGTGTACTAATGAGGCCTACTGAGACCCTGACTCTGCTTACCGACGCTGACATAGATTTAATCAAATACAAGGCAGCGACCACAATCTGACTCGTCATCATAGTTCTTATTCTGCACGACAGTCTCTTTTCAAGGCATTCTGTCAGTCAAAGTTAGACCTGCCAGCAAAATATAGCAGTGCTTCCCACTGATGCAATATAGTTAAACTCAAGTTACAGTGCCTTGCAGAATATGAATAATACTTTTTTTTCCCTCTTTTTACATTTTGTAAAGTTGCAACCACAAACCTCAGGGTATAACGTTAGGATAATGATGGGGTTAATCTCTTTATAACACTATAAAAAATTCAATATTTACTGCAGCTGAAACTTGTAGTAACCTGTCGTAATATAAGGACAGATCTTTGGTTGGCCGCAGCAATAACACAACTTTGGCCTAGATGAGGGGTTATTTTATTTTATATGCTTTATTATATACCTTGTATCTTATTTCTTATTCATTCTGTCAGTGCCCATACCATCAAAACTATATGCAAGATTCAATAAAAAAATATATTTTAAATTGAATATTAATAAAAATGCAACAAATGGGATGTAAAATGCAATTACATAAAAGCAAAGCTGTTATCCCACATTTTAAAGAGATTAATCACAGCATTGTACAAAATAATATACATTTATAGTATAGATTAATGCAAAGCGCAGCATAACTGTGAAGGAAGAGGAAATGACATGGTTTTCAAAGTGCAAAAAGGTTCATCCATCCATCCATGGATGGATATTCAGATAGATAAATTGCTATAAGAGACTTTCACGACATTTTTTCAGCTAAATCACCTTTTCTTGAAGGACATGCCCCCAATTTATCCCATGGGTTTGTTTTGCACAAAATAGGTGGAGCTCCAAACTCCCATATTGTTTAACTTCACAATCAACAACAAAGTAAACATTAGGGTGTTCTAAGAGAACTATGATCCATAACACACATCAAAACTTCTTTTGGAATTTAAAAAGTATGGTCAACACAAAATGTTTTATTTTTTTTTTTGCAACTTGCTAAGCTAAATTTATTCTATTTGCAGATATACAAGTCTGTATGTAAATATATTTTTATTAACTTTTTTTTCTCCTGTATGTATAATTTCGACTCAATTTATTCGGAAAAAAAATCTACACTAAATTCAAAATTGTCCACTCAGTCACTGTTTTTCAAATTTATTATGTATAGCATTACATTTTTTCATTATTACCAAAAATGTGGTCCAAATAAATCATCAAAAGCCCAAAATACATTTATTCATGCAAATGTGTGCATGTATGCTTTTAATGAGAACTCTAAATGCTAAGCTTGTTATCTATTAGGGGAAAGAAACACTGACTGTCTTTTTTGAGAAATTAGTTTTCTCCCTCAAATATGCACCAAATCTTGGCAAAAATATTTAAAATGTACTATTCAATATCTCTCAGGCCTCTTACTTCATAGCTGTATTGCAAAAACTGAAGGCTGAACTACAACTTTCTGAATTTACTGGGGAAACTTTGTGTGAAGCTCTTTCTTGGCTTGTTGCAGTTCATTTTTACTGCCTTACTGTTCCAAGATTTAAGGTTTGAGTCTTTAATGTTGGCCAAGTCAACTTACTCACATCCTCACAGAAAAAAATGCAAACAGTTATTCGACTTTGCACTCAAACTGGGAAACAGATGTAATATTTAAAAACAAACCTGATTAAGACATTTAAACCACTTTAACCCCCCCCCCCCCCCCCCCCCCCAAAAAAAAAAAACAATAAAAAAAATATTTTTGTTCCTTAAAGAATCTGGAGGTTTAGGCTTAAAATGACGTTGGTGGTGAAAAGTGGTGGTGAAAAGTGCTGCTGAGGCGTCCCTGGCTGATGTGCATTGATTTCTGATCTAATCTGAGCCTGAGGCAGCCCAGATACAGAGAGGCAAGTTCTCACACATTCCCACTCAGAGAGGGAAAACAAGGCCAAGACCTCAAAGATGAATCTCCTGATAACATTTTCAAGGTTCTTCAGCGGGTTAGATGTCATTCTAACTTTATTGGGTCCATTAAGTGTTTTTATACAGTAGATTTAATTTGCATTACGTAAGCGTCTTTTGTTTAGTCTCGGACTCTGAGACGTTGTAAAGCACCCGCTGGAATTTGTAGCTTGGTCATGCGACATGCTTCGTTTGGAGATCCTACTGAGAGAAGACTCCCAGATTAGCGGAAAAAATAGATAAAAACATAAAGGTGCTGTGCAAGAAGGTGCTTGTTTCTTTAGCAAACCCATTGATCAATAACTGTCTCCACATATTGAGGTCAAAAGGGAATCACCATGAAATTAGTCACATTACTAGCTGCGCAATATTTGCATGTTCTAACTAATCAAAAAAAAAAAAAAAAAAAAGAAGAAAAATAAATCTCCTTCCAGCTAATCTTCTGACAGCCAATCTGTTGATATCTGAAGCTGGGATGTTTGCTAAAGAGTGCAAAATTCCAACTTAAAGCATTAACTTCAGCTGCATCGTGTGTGTGTGTGTGCAGTCTGCGAAGAGTCTGATGTGTAATAGGCTAATTGTGATGCATTTCTAGATCACTCTGCTCCTTGATCTAAGCCGTCCGTGACAGATGGCTGAAAATGAATTTCAAACTGGTCAGTCTTGGTTCCTTTTTTACATCTTCTGCTAGAATATATATGGAGTGAGGAGGTATTACAGCGCTCTACATTGGCGACGACAAAATGACGACTAAACGAGGACAGATGTGTGAATTAGCAATGAGGGCCATGTGGAGCTTGCCATTTTTAGACCTATATTTAGGGCCTGTTAAAAGAGTAATGACCATCAAAGACCTATAAAAAAAGAAAGAAAAAAAGAGGAATTACCATCAGAGCCTGAATCTAAAGGGTGATTTATTACTCTCTAATGGGAAGGGAAATGGTTCTCTGCACATCAAAGGATCAAGCAACGCTGTATAAAGCTTCCGAAAATAAACTGATTTGCCCCACAAAAAGCCCACATCTTCCCCTCATGTGTGTTTAAACTGATTGTCTCTTTTATGTCAAGTGCATTTCAAAAAGCTGAAATGCATTGGATTGCATTTCAAAGAGCGCATTGGAAAATTCTTTAGTCTGAAATGAGGCAGTGTGTGGGCATCAGAGAAGGTGATGAGATGTGACCATTTTGCATTTTACACGGCGTCACACAGATATTCACATCACAACACAACCACAACTCTGTGTGAATTTTATGTGACGGATTGATACAAAGTGGTGAGAATTTACAAAGTGGAAGGAAACCTGATTATTGTTTTGCCTCTTTACTCTGGTGTCCCTTAATAAAAGCGAGTGCAACCAGCTGACTTCAGATAACACCTGGCTGGTAGTAGAGTGTGTAGTTTCAAGTCAGCATAAATTCAGCTGTAAAGGCCTTAGAGGCACCAGGAAGAACAAGGAACATGGCAGACAGATCTGGTACAGGCCAGTCCTGGAAGAAAAGTTGACAATTCAGTGAAGGTTCACCTTCTGTCAGGACAGTGGTCTCTTTCACAAAACATTTGTGTCATAAATTTGCCTGGATGAACCACTTCTAAGCTAGTTCTCACCATTTATATACCTTAAGCGGAAGATGCAGGATAACGGCAGTTGTGGTGCGGTGTCGTCATTAGCGAATGGTATAAAATCTGCGTCAGACATCTCTCCATGCCATTTCTTTCAGTACAATAATGTCGGATTAACTCAGCTTAGCAATATTGTTTTTGCCTGAGTAAATACTTCAAATGCTCATGCTTTTCAACCCTGCGGCGGTCTGGTTGCTCAAAACATTTGTCAGCACTAACTCAGGTAGAGCTGGCTTGCCCTTATACAAGTCGGCTGATAGGCAGGTGAAAAACTATCTTTGCTTGGAGAGTCAGAGGTATAACAGCAGTGTTCTTTCTGTGCCAGCTTTGCATCAGTATTCTCGAACCACTCTGACCATTCAGCCAAGAGCTTCCGACTATGCTGACGGCTACAGAAATTGAACAGTCAGGTGAATCGGGTTTCTGGTAGGTTTGCATTGGTGTCATTGAAGACAAAGTACAAAATAATCTGTTCACAGCCAACTTTGGATGAGAAAGACATTTGGGCTGGGATTCCTGTGCCTACTGAGCTGATAATCAGTCCTATAGAACCACTGGCTCAGTTCAGCAGGAACAGGAGTCCAGTCCACTAACAGCAGGATCAAAAACCGGTTCCATCTGGCACGTCACAAACAAACAGCCGACGCTTCATTCAGTTGAACTGTTAAAACTTTAATTTGATGCAATTATCAGGAAATAAGTTTAAGCTTTGTTTAATTAATACTTGTTTTTGAAGGAAACCAACTGATCTGTAAACTGCACATCACACACTGGGCCGGGGTTACGCTCCATGAAAAATAAAACAACGTACACCGTTTATGGCAGCAATAGATCTGTCAATGGCTTCATATCGGAAGCGCCAAGACTACTTACTACTGAAAGAAAAATAGAAAAAGCAGGAGAATAGAGTTAATGGCAGCAAAAGAGAAAAGTTCATACATATTAGTGCCACTAACTGCCAGTAAGCCATACATATTAAATCATCACTGATAAATATTTGGACAAATAAACTACAGTTTAACGTTGTGGCCCAGATCGCTATGGACTCTAAAATTATTTACTGATCTGCTTGAAACTATGACCAAATGTTACACAATGTTCCAATGCGTGTGTCTTTTATGTTTTTTTTTTTTGTAGGTTTGCAGAATGTGGACAGAGACAACAAGAGTTTGGCCCGGAGGATGTACGAGGATCCAGCATTCGCGCCGTATTTCTCTGGGACTCTGCAGGAACACCAG